CCCCTTAGCAGCCCCTACCTAATTTAGATGACTTTTTAGCAACCCCCTACATTATTTTAAGGGGTTTTTTACTCCTATAAATAAGGAGTTCTTCTCATTCATAAGACATTACATTATTGATTAAGTATATCATACTTTGAGAGTTCTTTTGAACCTTTGTTACTTGTGCTTTGAGATTTATCTTTCAACCTTTACTAGTTAATAGTTCAAGGTAGTAAGATTACTTCTCTTTTGTGATATCTTTGATTCCTTTGTGGTATTCTTAGAAGACGATTAATACTAGTTATTAATTATTGTCTCAAGTTACTCGTAAAGCAGTCAAGATCTGAATCTATTGTTTTGATTTGCTTTTAAGTAAAGGCGTTTGATTTCTTCCATAAATCAAGACGTTGTTACTTTGATCTTGTCAAGGCTATAGAACTTGCGTTCTTGGAAGTTCTTGGAAATTCTTTCCTTGAATTTTCCCATATCCTTTATTTTCATCTCTTTAATTCTAGTTGTTCAATTCCTTGTTGTTATTGCTTCCGCATTTACTTCTCAAATTCTTACTCTAGTTTGGATTCCCGACCTAGTTACTATCAAATGGTATCAGAGCGGTTCTATCAAGATTTCGTTCTTGATAATTCTTGGGATTTGTTGAGTACTAACGGTAAAGAAAAAAACGAATTTAAAAAAAACGAAAATCAGTTTTTAGAACAAAAAAATAGAATTGCGTGCTCTCCTGGATATTTCTTTTGTATCTAATTTGTTTTCAAAAATTAACAAAGGAAACAAGAAGAGGGGATCCTAGATTTTCTTACTCTTTCTAATCTAAATATATAATCCTTTCCTTTTTGTTCGTGTCTTGTTTCAACCGAGCCTAATAGTTCTAGGATTTGATTTTTCTTTCATTAGTTCCACAAAAATCTAAATTTTACTACTAAGAACTTCATACGAGTTGGGTTTAACTATAAATCTACAAATTATTTTGTTCAAAGGTTATTTCGAGAGAAAAAAGGGTAAAGTGTATGAGAGAATAATTGAGAAAAAAAAACAAAGAAGCTAAATTTGAGAGATACATATTTCCTTTAATCTATGTCAAGATTTCTCAAATAGGTGGAAGGAGTAGATCTATGAGTCAACAACTTGAAAGGTCGATATTACAATATATCGAATGGAAAGAAGACAATGGTAAAGTTATTTTTCAAACAAGAGCTAAAGTGATGTCTACAATTTATACCCTTAGAATTGACAAAGCATTTGACTATAACTTAATTAGCACTTATATGGTTGAGAAATTGAACTTGCCTTGTGTTGAACATATTGATCCCTACATGTTGAAAGGAGTAAAGGTAGATAAAGAGTGTTATTATTATTCTCTATTGGAAGGTATGAGGATGTGATTTGGTGTGATATCATTCCCATAAATCGTTTTCATATCTTGTTGGGAAGGCCATGGTATATCTATAGAAGTGCTTCATATAGTATCGGAAAAAATAGATACTCTTTTGAGGTTAATGGGAAGAAACTCAGTCTTGGACCTTTGACTCCCTCACAAATTTGTGCAGATGAAAAGATTGTTAAAAAGAATATGGAAAAATACGAGAGAGAAAAGAATGAGAGGAGTAAGGGAGTGCATGTTGACATTCCAAGAGAGGAAAAATGAGAGGTTGTCTTGAGTAAAAAGAATGGGGTGTCAAGTGAGGTAAACAATGATCTTGAGAAAAAGAGAAAAGAGAGAAAGCAATAAGAGAAACAAAGTCTGTGAGGTAGAGAGAGAAAAACAAGAGAGATTGAGTGAAGGAAAAGAACTCTTTAGTGAGAAAAAAAGGCTAAGGGTGAGGACAACATTAGTCTTGCGATAAAAGCCAAAGAGAGTGTAAGCAAGAAAAAAGTTTCTTTACTTCCTAACCCATTAACTCTTTCTTGTTTTAGTTCTTGTGATTTTGTGCAGCCACGTGATGAAATATCTTTTGAAAGGGGTGGTGAGGCGCAAGAGATGGTGGCAAAAGATCCAATTGGATTCCAACATAAATTCGGCAATATCAATTCTTGTTGGATGGTGGAAGACAAAAGCTTGATTAAATTCTTTGTTATTAAACCTTTTGACTATTTCGATTCTTATTTACAGGGTTATGATATGAAGTTGCCTAAAAGCATTGCTAAGTTGGATTCATTGCATAAAAGAACACAAGGTGATGATGTTCCATTGGTAAATAAGTCCAAGTATGGTATGCATAATTGGTTTATTTGCATTCTTGGTCTTTCTAGAACACCTAAGGTATTTTTGGAGGTAATGAATTACACTCTTATTTCTTATATTGGTGACTTTATAATTTTTGTAGATGATGATATTTTGATGCACATCAAGTCATTAACTATAATATCTAAGTTAATGTGTAAGAGTAATTCGCTTCCTTTTGAAATTGTGTATGACATAGATGATTACTTATTCCAACTTGGTGGAAAGAGGCATGAAATTTATGAGAAGAGGCTTGCGAATGAGTTAAATATTTATTCTTATCTTAATCAAGTGGCTAATGAGTTTTCATTTGCTAAAGTGCTAGAATGTGATCTTTGTTGTGTGATGGGGAGTCATTCTTCAAGTCATGTTCATTGTAAGCTTGTAAAAGTATTTGTTTCTAGTAAAGAGGATATGCATGATTGTTGTAACACTGGTGATCAAATACTCTTTCATGTTGTGGAATATATGAGATTTGTAATTGTAGATAGTAGTCTATATCATAAATGTATCTTGTTCGATACGTGTGGTAGATGTACTTATATTAAATGGATATGTAGTCACTCTTTTATAATTTCTTTGTCATGTATACTCATGGACTGTCGTACCGACAAGATCGAATTGCAAGTTCCATTGCATGGTGCATCTAAGAGAGGTTTTTATTGTATTAATCTAGGTAGACATAAATTTTATTGGGATGATGATGTCCATATGCTTTATAAGGGAGTATTTATACCTATTAGGATTGATTGGGTTAAATGGACACATTGTCACTATCTTATTTTATTCCTACTATTTTTTCAGATTAGTGGATACCATTTACTAGTGCGTGTTTTCTTTTTCTTGCAAGGTCAAAATTCGAGGACGAATTTTCTTCAAGAAGAGGGGAATGATAGCATCCTAGGAAGCTCAACTCTATTCAAGGACAAGGATGAAGCTTTCGAATCTCAAAGATGGCCTTTAACAAGATGTCAAGCTAAAGAATTACAAAACAAGGTCATTAGACTTCAAGTGCAAATAAAGAAGTTATTAATTGGGAGGAAGAGCTCAAGGATAAAGGATGTGAAGTGGCTAGGTGATAACATCAAGGACAAGGATAGAGTTTTGGAAGCTCCAAGGCCATATACAAGATCTCAATCTAAAGAGTTGCAAACTAAGGTTGCTAGACTTCAATGCCAAATAAAGAAGCTTTTAATTGTAGAGGAAGAGCTCAAGACCAAAAAAGATAAATTGTACAAGTTTTACAATTATATGGTGGTCCAAATTGAAGTCTAAGAGGAGGAAGATTGGGTCACCAAATCAGCCCTTGAAGTCCACCAAAAAGGGCTCAAAATAAGTTTAAAAGAGGTCCAAAAGGGGGTGTTTCAAAAGGAGCCTAATTAGAGTCCAAACCAATGGTTCAAACTAGTTATTTTAAGGCCCAAATCTGCCCCAAAGGGTCTTGGCCGCCCCTCACCTAATTTTGATGGCTTTTGTTACCCTTACACTACAACAATTATGGTCTAACTCCACACTAGTTTTACACAACTCCTGAAAAGTATTCCCAAAAATATATTTGGGCACACTTTTAAGGGGTGGCCTTTGTATGGAGCTTTTGGATACGGAAAATTTGGCTACGCTTGTAAAATGTGCTCTTTAATTTATTAGGCCACACTTATTAAACGTTGTTAAATCATAAAATTATTGGCAATATTTACTTGAGTATGTGGCACTCTTTTTAAGCGTGCTCTTATTATAATTGGAAAAGCAACACTTTATAAATGTGCTCTAAAAGTCCAACAAAATATTTGGCTAAAATATAATATTCCCTCCAAAAAAATATAATGTTCCCTCCGATATTACTCCTGGTGAAATATTATTTTTTCAATTTCAAAAGGGCAAAAGATCTCTCTCCTCGCTAAAATCTCTGTGGATACATTAGTTTAGGGTTTTTGGCTTCAATACTACGTCCTGACGAATCTCAGATCCGGATTAGGTCTTATTTTTGTACCTTCTCACCCTACTTTGGGTAGTGTTTTTGTTTTCAAACTATCATCTCAAAAGAAGAATTCCCATTTCCCCTTTCTCTTAGGTACTGTTTTGCACCTTCTCGCCCTCCTCGTTCCAGATTGAAGAAATTTATAAAGCTAGAGAAACGGGAATTCTTCCAATCTCAGGTTGGTGCTCTTCTATTTCAATATTTTACCATTTCATTTTCGAAGTTGAACCATAATAGAAATGATATATTCAGATTTTGGTGCCTACCAGAGGCATGAACTGGTTAATGTATCTGATGCAACTGTTGTTGCTCTAGCTGAAGGTTGCAAGAATCTTGATGCTCTTAATTTAACTGGCTGTGAATTTGTCACTGGTGAAGGTGTTCGTGCTTTGACAAAGCATAGGTCATTGAAAGAGCTCGTTTTGACTAGTTGCGAGAAGCTTAATGGATATGATTTGGAAGAGTTGGTGCTCGGATGCCAGACATTAGAATACATTGTGGTTGATAGAAGATTAAGGATGTGGGTTCCTATGGAAGTGCAGGATAATATAATGAGAGAACACTGTTGGATAGATTGGAAATAACAGATGAAATAAGAGTTGAATATCTCAGTTAATATGTATTGATCTGTTTTCAGTGGTACCCTTATTTCCTGATACCTCTCAGCAGTTATATCTCTGGTCTTTCATTCCCCATGCCTCAGGTGCATATTCTGTCCAGTTTCCATATTAATTGTTGAAATAATCATTGTAATGAATGTTCAAAGTACCTTTTAATGAACTTGGCTACTTCGTTATTGCCATTTGATGCTTAATATAATCCATAGGCGTTTCAATTTGGAGACAAAATATAGCAGAAATTTGAGATATGGTAACCCAAGAATCTCTTCCAATCTCTGTGGCTTGGTATATTTTCTCTTAGCTAACCTATTGTGAATACCAGCTTGTAATCCTTAAAGTATAAAAAGGAAACAAACATAACTGTTCTATAGCATCATGAACCATGCTTTAGTTCAGTATAGGTTTCTTGTTAATCCCAGGTTATGCATGACGATGACAGAATCCACAATTCCATCCTCCATATTCTGTAATTGTTGGAAAGCTAGTGAAGCTCAGCTTGTGGAACAATCAGGGGCTAGGACATCATGTACACCTTTGGGAAATTTCACACTTTACTAGACTATTTAGGGCTGCAAATCATCTGACTTTCCAAACACCGCAACAAAAACATATCTTGGAACCTCTTTCCTGAAAAAGATTGTACTTGCAACGATGTTGTTCTGGGCTATTCTTCCATGTTCCATAAGCTTCTTTGTTGTCTGGGTAACTTTTCATGGATTCTCCTTTTTCGTTTTCTCTTATCCTTTTTCGGATATGTGGTCGCTGGTTTCATTTTAGACATAACTGTCCTCTCATATTTGGGAGAACAACTCCAAAGAGATTTGATTGAGTGCCAGTCTTTTAAATAAGTTGTTTCTCCATTTACTGTATAGAGTCTTTTTACCACCTTGGAGGGATGTATTAGGGCATACTGGCCAGACAGCTTTTTATAAATTAGTTGGCCTCTTGAGAAGCAGTTCGGGTTGCCCTTAACCTTTCGAACTTTTAAATTTAGGAAGCATGTGTCGTGTACCTCTAATAAGAATGATGACATGAGAAGTTTCTTTTAGGTGGAACAGGTGAAAGAAATTATGAGAAATTTATATGCATCGAAAACCAAATACATAAAAAGTATCTTCTGGTGGTAAGAATTGAGAATTGTATGGTTATACAAAGACATAGGGAGGAGGCAGGAACTGGTGCTTTTGCTGACATTAGTTCTCAGGGTCTTTTCTAATACTCTGATCAATTATAGCTTTTGATCCTATGTTCAAAAATTTCTTGATCCTCCACAAAGGGTCGATAAAAGAAATGTAGACTAGGGGTTGTTATGTGTCTTATTTCTTAAATATTTACTTTCTGACATACTGTTATATATTCTTACTAGTTGTTAGGCTAAAGTAATTTAATTTTTTTTGTATGTAGGATGAATCAAGCGGCAGCTCTTAGGAGAAAAGTTCCGAATCCTAACAAAGCTCAAAGTCCATGAAGAATATAAGTTTCGATTTCCAATACCGATCAAGTGCTGAACTAGCCAAAAAATTTCAGATTAAGAGAGAAAAGCATGCAAGTGATCAAAACGATAAAGCTGCTAAAGACCATGCATTACTTGGAGTTAAAAGGAAGAATTGTATGCCTGCAACATTAGAAGGACAAAGTAGACAGAAGTTAACTCAATCCGATGTGTCAGTTCAAAAGTTAGGAAGGAATAGATTACCGGTGTACGAATCAATCCAATCGTCTTCAAGGGAAGATCTGAACACTTCACACAGTATTGCAAGTAAAGGACAAATTAAACAAAGGTCAATTCTATTGGAGGAGCCTATTCAAAAGTAAGGAATTAGTAAATTACCTGTGCCCACATCCATGATCCAATCATCTGCAAAGGTAGATCCTAACACTATACATATGCTTAGAAGAACGCAAGGTGAAGGAGAGAAACAACTTGATATTCAGGAGCTACAAAATTGCAAAGTGGTAAAGACAAACTCAGTCCTACCGTCGACGAGTGTTAATCAATTTCTAAAAAAATATGGGATACAAGTCGGTGGTGAAAAATATCCTGATAATCACCCAGAAAATGAAGTCAGATTTATGTCCTCTCCTCTTATTGATGAGCGTGAAATAGAATTGGATAATTTTGTTGCACAAGATAAAGTTGGTGACGATGAATTTATTGGAGATGAGGACATGAACATCGATGGTGCTGCAGGTGGTATGTCTTAACCTTACGGAAAAGGCCTAAAAATGCCACTCAACTTTCAAAAAAGGCTTATCCATGCCATCCTTTAAAAAAATGCTCATTCCATGCCACTGCCGTTACACATATGTCTCACCTATGCCATTATTGACTAACGACTCAATTTTTATTTGGCCCTTCCATGCCACTGCCGTTAGTCAATAATGCCATGGATGGGCCAAATGTGTAACGGCAGTGGCATGAAATGAGCATTTTTAATGGATGATATGGATAGACCATTTCTGAAAGTTGAGTGGCATTTTTAGGCCTTTTTCGTAAACCTTATAATTATTCTACATATTTTAATTTTTTTCTTCTTATGTCTTTCTTGTTATATCAATCTAGGGACACCAGAGAAGAAAAGAGTTCGAGGGCAAACAACATGTAAGAATATTCATACAAGAAGTTTTGAAAAAAGAGAGGAGGTAACAATTGATAAAGGACAAGCAGTTGGACCAACTGACAGGAGAGTGTCTGATTTGACCAACTTTTTAGGAATAATTGCAAGGAATCCAAGATTTATCCCCTTGGTGCATGTTGTGTCAAAGGATGTTAAGCAACAAATGTGGGAATATGTCAATGTAAGTATAATTAATTTTTCAATTACATATTTTTTGTATTTTTCCTACTAAGAAAAGATATATATATATATATATATATATATATATATATATATATCTGTGTGTGTGTGTGTGTGTGTGTATGTTTGTGTGTTGTTTTGCGGTCCAAGTTCTTAATTCCAGCTGAAGGAGAGAAGTGGGTAATGACTGGTCTTCGTGATGCTGGGAAGTGACACAAGAGAAATATTAAGAAGAAATATTTTGATAAAAATGCTACTATTGACGAAATGCTACAGAATTGTCCCAATGAGATATCCGAAGTTCAATTCCGTCAATTGATTGAGTATTGGGATGATGAAGATGTCCAAGTAAGATTAAACCGTGCATTTCTACATTTTCTACCTATTGTTGCAGTATGTTACAAATGACATTTCTACATTTTCTACCTATTGTTAGCTACCTACTATAGTTTTAGTAGAGCTGTCAATATTAGAGCAAGCTTGAGAAATTAATTACAGTCTTCATACGATGTAGAGTTAGTATACTCATAGAGGTTGATACTTTGAGCATTTTGTATGCAACTTACAAGCCTTAATACATTATCTAATACCATAAAGTATGCACTGAACTGTATAGATTAATGCACCAGTAGCAATAAAAGATGGTGGGAAATTAAGAATTTGATGGCCACCCGGCAAAGGAAGATCAAGAAAAATTGACAGCCGATCAAGCTGTTAAGAGGAGTACAAAGTCAAAAAATACAACACCCTCTATACCATCAAGAATATAAAAATCCAAGAGTTACACTACTCTTTTTAAACGATTGAGTAACTTGAGAGATCTCATATAAACATATGCAGTTGGAGCTGGCTATTAAATTGCATTGTCTTGGGCATCTACAAGAATATAACTATACTAATAGTTTGAAGGTACTTGAAAATGCATTAGTTGACGTAGATAGAAGATCGTCTGCTACCATTTCAAGAATCTTCTTTCTTGTGTATGCTTTATCCGAAATGTGATTGGTCGATTGTAGCACTTTGCCACGCTCCACCACTATAAACACCTGAGATTCTGCCTTCAACTGCTGCTACTAATATTAGTGAAAAAACAGAAGCAATAAAGGCCACATTCAAATTATATTGTTAGCAACAGATATATTGTTTCCTTTTTGATTTATTAATTAATATGTTTCTTTTGTTGTTAGGCTATGTGCCAATTAAATTCTGAAAATAGGAAAAAACAAAAGTGGAGGCATCGAATGGGACCTATTAAATTTTGCAAGAGTGTGTGTGGCATTGGTAATATTTAGTCGACACTTTGTAATCTGACTTTCATTTCTTTTTGTACTTTGTCGGAACACAGTGATGTTTTTTATATCTTCTTTGATGTAATTTGTAGCGCACAACCAAAGAGAACAATGAGGAACCATCAAAGTCTGAAATGTTTATTGCAATTCGTACAAAAAAAGGGAAGGAAGTTCATACGGATACTCAAGTTGCAATAGTAAGTCATGCTGCAAGTTAAGTCTTGTTATTGTATTTTCTCTCTTTAGCTGAATGTGTTTCTTTAATATGGTTTTATTTGTACAAGATGTTAGATATTTGTCAACCCTTCTCAAATAATATGATTATACCTGCACAAGATTTTTAATATGATGTTGCCTGCATAGAATTCTCTATTCTGTATCTGTGAGTCATAAATGTGGAAAGAAAATAAATATTCAGAAGTAGATGATATTATTTGTTTCAGAAGTAGTCATTTGGAGCAGATACTTGTCCAGTCTAGTAGAAACTCGAATCACCATTGTCCAGTCTTCCCCAGTTGATTTCCTTGCTATTCCATTGTCCTTAGATTTAACATCCTTTGATCCAGTAACCTATCCAGCAGTTTCCCCATTACTGCTGAAATTTCAGCTTGCAAAGAATTCTCACGGTCCTCCTTGTCACTTTTAGGTTCAGCGGCTTCTTGTGAATCTTACTTTTGCACAACCTGATCGCTTCCATCCTTCAAAAGAGCTGTTTGTGCACCAGCAGTAGATTGATTAGCAATTAGCTGAGTAGCATCTTTAGCTTCCACACCTGTTGATTTATTAGTTGTTTTACCTAATCTAACAGTAGGTCGATCACCATCTGTCGCACCAGCTTTTGCCTTCTCATGTGCAAACTGTTGTACATTAGTTTTCCCCTGTCCCTTTTGTCCAGCACCTGGACCTGTAGCAACACCAGCCTGCTCGTTAACCTTCACTTGTCGCTGCACCTTGACTTTAGATTTCTCAAGATTTTGCACAGCCTCCGACTTCTTCTGATTATTCCTCATAAGCATAACATTGTCCATAGCGATAGGACATGAGTTACTCTGCCCAGCAACAACTACATCGTGTAAAAATCTAGCAAAAGTTGTTTCAACAGGAACTATAGCAGTACTAGCGACAACTGCTACATGTGATGTCTTAAACGGATTTTCAGCATAGTCATGATCCCCCTGATGTGATTTTGAAGCTTGTGTAGCAGCTGTAGGATTAATATGCTCTCCAATCCTTCCATCACTTTCTTTCAGAGCTCTCTTCTCCTTCAAAAATAGACGCAAATCACTACTGTATTTTTCCCCAACAACCTGTTCATGACAGCGCTGCATATGTTGATGTTGAATTGATGTTTTAATCGTCTCTCCCACAGCTTGAAGCTGGAGAGAGGGCTGTGCATCTTAGAAATTCCTCCTTTTGTTATGCACCAGGATAAAGAATTTTGATGGCAACAGGGGTATGATCAAGGTTGCCTTTGTAAACTTTCCCATAGCCCCCTTCGCCAATCATCTTAGAGTCAGAATAGAAATCAGTAGCCACCTCAATCTCTTCTTTGCTTCAGCAGCTGTTTTCCCTAGGCTTTCTTCTCTTTTCTGGGCTGCATTCACTCTTCTTGCTTCTTCAAGGCATTCAGAAGAAAGTAGTTGGACCTGAAAGATAGCCAGAGGGTTACGTTCAGATATGGTTGATGGTAACCGGGGACGTGTTCAGATGGTTAAAAAAAATTCTTGGTTATAAATGCAGGATACAACTATTTTTTCTTTGTTGACTTTTATGGAACTTTTCATTTGGTGAAAGGTTCGTCCAGCTATAGGGCTAATGTTTCTCTTCCGGATACTTGTTATCCCATCAGTTGCTTTATTCTTTATTTTTGGAGGCTTGAGGGGGTAAGAAATTCTCTTGTCCTTGTGATTATAAAAATAATTTTTAGAGCCTATAAAGGAATGTTTGCAAATATATTGTGGTTTTCGCAAGGTGTAAATTTATCCACCGGTTTGTAGAGGAAAACATGATAACATGAAGAAGTTTGGCAACAGAATAATGTGGGTACTTGGGGAAAAAATCAGTTCTATTTATTTGAAACTTCATATTAAAATGGTTATAATCATTGTCACTGAAAAATCTATTTACATTCTTGGCTAAATTTTGAGGTATGTTAAACTTTTATTTAATCTGACTTGACTTGTTAAAATTTATTTTAGTGTTCGATCTATCTTGACTTGTAAGTGATGTGTAATAATATTTTTTTGACAGTATGAACTTCAGAATCGCCAAAGTTCTGGAGAAACAACAGATGATGCATTTAGGGTTGTATTTGGAAAGGAGCAGCCTGGTCGGGTTAGATGCTATGGTAGATCGGTGACGACAAGCTCTCTAAAAAAAAAGAAGAAATCACCAAGCTTAAACAAAAGCATGCCAACGAAATAACTTCTCTGGAGGAAGAAATGAAGGAAATAATGAGGGAAGAAATGCGATATTTGTTTAGTCAATTGGTGAAAAACAACCATGGACTAGATTTTTATGATATACAAGGGTGTGTTGGATCTAATATTCCTTCACCGGTTGATGCAAGTAGTGCACGAGCTATGAGAGGAAAAAATCTACAACATTCTTCTGGCTCAACTCATGCCCCGAGTATTGAAAATGTATTTATATTTTATAATTCCAAAAACTATCTCAATCTTAAGTAACTTACAAAATCATGCTTTCTATAAGTGTGTGATAGGAAACTGAATCTATTGTCATGACTAAGATTCTAGGGGTCATAATGTTTGAAAGTAGACTATAGAAAGAATATTTGCAGAGTTGGTTATTGGTATCTCAATAGGTATTTGGTTTCTTTGAGGAGATCATTTTGGAACAGTGTTATCTTTAAATATTTTAAGTTCATGTATAATGATTTCTTAACAAGCACACAAGGTTTAATGCAATGATTTGAGGCACAAAAAGAAAATATCAAGATTCTTAAGCATATAAAATTGACCTGTAACAGATACTGAACAATAGGCTATAAAATAAGACATTGTAAACTTAGTTACCAGCACCAAATTTAAACCGAAAAATGTGTTCTAAAGAGAAAAAAGAAAACACTATAGAATGCAAATGGTGAAACTGTAGTAACAGAGATTATGTTTAAGTAGAGGCTTTGAGCTTCTTAGCGATAGGAAGTAGTCAAAGATTTGCATTTGATAAGAGTATTCCAATCCTTTTGAAGGGTCTGTAAATTGTAGCTTCTAATTTTTATACTATTTCGTGAGGAGCGATTGTAGAGAAGCTTTAAACATTAAATTTGGAGCTGTGACATCCTTCCCAAATAGGGAAATGTGGAAAATTAATGGATAAGTGATATTTGAGATCTTGTACTAGTTATAGTACTTGTGCCATGAAAATCAATCTTTGTAATATATCTACTCACTCTTACTCTATGCAGATAACCAATCAGAGATAACTACTCACTTAGCTCTTAGTAAGATATAACCAGTGCATATATATATATNCACACTTAGTCCCTAAATGAGAGCTTAAGTGTTGGAAAGTTGACCGTAGTCGGAACAGTATGATGACGGCCTCGGAGTGAAAATCCGATAGTTCCGTTAGCTCCGTTGGGTGATTTTGGGGTTAGGAGCGTGTTCAGATTGTGTTTTGGAGGTCCGTACCTAATTTAGGCTTGAAATGCCGAAGGTTGAATTTTTGAAGTTTCCGGTTCGATAGCAAGATTTTGATCCGAGGATCGGAATGGAATTCCGAGAGTTGCAGTAGTTCCGTTGTGTAATTTGGGATGTGTGTGTGGAAAATTTCAGGTCATTCGGACGTGTTTTGGTTGGGTTTTTGATCGAAAGCGGAATTCGGAAGATTTTAGAAACTTAGGCTTGAATCCGATGTGTTTTGGTTGTTTTGATGTTGTTTGAAGTGTTTTGAAGATTTGTACAAGTTTGAATAAGGTTTTAGGATAGGTTGATGCCTTTGGTTGAGGTCCCGATTGCCTCGGGATGAATTCGGATGGTTAACGGAGGAAATTTTGGAGTTGAAGTTGCTGCAACAACTGGTCTTCTGGTATTTTCGCATCTGGAGTTTGGGGACCGCAGATGTGACGCCGCAGAAGTGGCTAAAGGGCCGCAGAAGCGGCTTTATGTCAATTCCTCAGGAACTGCAGATGCGGTGAAAAGCTCGCAGAAGTGGAACCGCTCCTGCGGTTAGAGGTCTGCAGATGCTGAATATGGCATTTTTAATGAAAATCGCAGATGCGACGTTGTGTCTGTAGAAGCGGGACCGTAGATGCGGTCCCATGACGCAGATGCGGAAATTGCTGGGCATTATTTTAAAAGGGGTTCCGCGACTTGGGGGTTTATTTCCACCATTTCTAATCATTTTTGGAGCTCTTTGAAAGGGATAGAAGAAGTATTCGAGGGGAATCACTTGGAGGTAACATCCTTGACTTCATAACTTATTTTTATGTGATTAAAGACCTAATTAGTGGTGAGAAATTTGGGAAAAATGGTTAATTAGGGCTTGAGTTTAAGAGGCCTTTAATTGAGGATTTGAGGGGTCATTTGGACTGCGATTTCAATGTTCTTATTATGTATAGACTTGTGAGAGTACGAGATTTCTGAAAATTTAAATTTCACCTGATTCCGAGGCGTGGACCCGAGGGGCATTTTGGTCATTTTACATAATTTCGCGTATTAGCTTAGAATTTAATTGTAGAATTAGTTACTTGAAGTGTTATTTACATTATGAAATTGAATTGAATAGATTTGGGTCATTTTGAGTCGAGTACTCGTGGCAAAGAAGTGGTGTCAAGTTGATTTTGAGTTGGTTCGAGTTAAGTGGCTTGTCTAACCTTGTGTGGGGGACTTTCCCCTTAGTATTGGTATTGTGATAATTGAAATGCCTTGTACGTGAGGTGACGAGTTCGTACTTGTGCTAATTGTTGAAAATTCAGTTTTCACTAAGTAACTTTAATTGTGTTCTCCCTTTCTATTTATTCTACTTGCACTTTTAAACTTGTTGTTAGTTAAAGAACATGTCTAATTGACTTAATTGCTTAAACTGCCTTTTTTGTATTATGTGAAGCATGCTAGGTTAGAATCGTGTGTGTTATCTCGTTATGAAGTTGAGTTTATTTGAGTACTCCTTGTGCCATTGTTGTGTGTTTTACTTTGGGACTACGGGACGGCATCCCGGGAGATCCCCTGTACGTATTTATAATCTGAACTGAGGTGCGGGATACCAAGAGATTCCTGGCACGTATATTGAGGATACCAAAAGATTCTCGGGATATCAAGAGATCCCTAGCATATATTAAGGGTACCGAGAGATCCTTGGGATACCAAGAGATCCCTATCATACATTGAGGATACCAAGAGATCCTTGGGATACTAAGAGATCCCTATCGTACATTGAGGATACCAAGAAATTCTCGGGATACCAAGAGATCCCTAACATACATTGAGGATACCGAGAGATCCTCGGGATACCAAGAGATCCCTGGTATATATTGAGGGTACTAAGAGATCCTCGGGATACTGAGAGATCCCCGGTTATCATCCTTGTTATGAGTGGTATTTCCTGGTATTTACCTTTATTTTTTGTTTTCGTTATTGTACTCTTATTAACCTGTATAGATTCTTACTGTAGATTTTTAATTGTACTGCTTACCTTATCTTGTCATCTTTATATTTATTTAATCTCAGTAGGGCCCTGACCTTTCCTTGTCACTACCCAACCGAGGTTAGGCTTGGCACTTACTGAGTACCTCTGTGGTGTACTCATGCCTCTTCTGCACATGTTTTTCACGTGCAGAACCAGGTACCGCTACGCTGGCCTATCATCTTTGAGGAGGCAATTGCCCTAGAGACTTCGAGGTACATCTGCCATGTTTGCATACCGAGAAGTCCCTTTCTATTCCTACTTTTAGTATTTATCCCTTTTGTGTTTTTCTGTTCTTATTAGACATTTCGGAGTTAGAGCTATGTAGAATTGATCTTAGCTTGTGATTCGTGGGTTTTTGGGTCTTGAATTTATGTATTGGTATTGAGAGTTAAACATGGTGTATGCCGAGTGGGCACATTTAAACAGTATTATTACTTTATTTCTGTTTTAAATTGTTTTACTTCCATAAATTTTAGTTTTTCTTCCGCAATTTAGGCTTACCTAGTCGTAGAGACTAGGTGCCATCACGATAGTTCACGAAGGGCGAACTGGGGTCGTGACAAGTTGGTATCAGAGCTCTAGGTTCATAGGAGTCATGGATCACAAGCCGGTTTATTAGAGTCTCGCTGATCGGTACGGAGATGTCTGTACTTATCTACGAGAGGCTATGTAACCGTTAGAGCTGCCACCGAGGAGACACCAACAGTTCCAGCCAGAGACCAAGCACAAGATTCGCCTACTGCTACTACTGCTCCAGCCTTTCAGGAGACATTTGCACAGTTCCGAGCATGTTTGGTACGTTAGTATAGGCGGGGTTGATTCAGGTTATACCAACTACTTCACAGATCGGGGAAGGGACCCAGACTTCCACCACCCCTACTCTAGAGCAGCGGGTTCCCATTGTTCAAGTTCTAAGTGTCATGGTGACACAACTTGTGGTCCCAATTTAGCGGGTGGTGAGGACCGCTCGCCGAGTAGAGGACAGGTGGGTCCAAGAGGGTGTGGACAGACTAGGTCAGGAGAAAGAGTATAGGGAAGTAAGGAGACCTCGTAGACTGGAGAGACCCACTGGTCCTTATTTTGGTGGAAGAGTATGGCATGGTAGAGGTTTTGTGGTTCAGCCAGCTCAGTTGCATCTCAGATTTCACACAGCATTTCAGGTGTTCAGGGGTCTTGGAGTACCCGTACCACACAACTCCCATTGCCACGTCCTCCCAGAGCTTGTTTTGAGTATGGTGACACACATCATATGGTGAGGGATTGCCCTAGACCTGGGAGGGGTGCACCTCCACAAACTTCTTAGCCACAACGTGCCCCGCAGAGTTCTCAGGCTATGGTTACAGCTCCAGTTGCTACCCCACCTACTCAGCCAGCTAGAGGTAGAGGTCGGGGAGATAGAGGTCTCCCTAGAGGGGGAGGCCACGCCAGATACTATGCCCTTCCTGACCGTACCGAGGCTATTGCCTCCGATTCTATCATCACAGGTATTATATGGTTTGTCATAGAGATACACCGGTTCTATTCGATCCAGGCTCTACTTACTCTTATGTGTCTTCTTATTTTGCTCCGCATTTGGGTATATCTCGGGATTCTTTGAGTTCCCATGTTTATGTTTTCACTCTTGTGGGAGATTCTCTCGTTGTGGACCGCATTTATCAGTCGTGTTTGGTGGCTCTTAGTGGTTTTGAGACCAGAACCGATTTATTGTTACTCAGTATGGTTGACTTCGATATTATCTTGGGCATGGACTGGTTGTTGCCCCATTATGCTATTCTTGATTGTCACGCCAAAACTGTGACGTTGGTTATGCCAGGTGTACCACATATTGAGTGGAGAGGTACTTTAGATTACACTCCTAGTAGAGTTATTTCTTTTCTTAAAGCTCAGCGTATGGTTAAGAAGGGGTGTGACACATAGTTAGCTTTTTTGAGAGATGTCATTATTGATACCCCTTCAGTTGATTCAGTTCCAGTAGTACGAGATTTTCTCGATGTGTTTCCAGCTGATCTTCTAGGCATGCCACCTGATAGAGGTTTTGATTTTGGCATCGATCTGTTGTCGGGCACTCAATCTATTTCTTTTCCTCTGTATCATATGACTCTTCCTGAGTTGAAGGAGTTGATAGATCAGTTACAGGAATTACTTGATAAGGGTTTTATTTGGCCTAGTGTATCACCTTGGGGTGATCCTATCTTGTTTGTGAAGAAAAAGGATGGTTCTATGCGTAATTGTATTGATTAT